TTCAAATACGAAATTTGAAACAATTTCAGTGAATTATTATCGTTTAAATCTTCAAAATACCGAATATCGAGGGGTACCGTTATATGGGGGCTATACGAAGACGTGGACCTGCACAGACAAATTTATGTCATAGGCTGCAGTCCCCATTAAGAACTTCAAATACGAAATTTGAAACAATTTCGGTGAATAGTGTCGCTTAAATCACGAAATTACCGAATAAAGGGAGCTACCGTTATATGGGGGATATACGAAGACGTGGAACTCCACAGACAATTTTCAGTCCTAGGCTGTGGTATTCATTACGAACTTCAAATACCAAATTTGAAACATTCCCTGTGAATAATGTCGCTAAAATCATCAAAATACCGAATATCGGGGGGTACCGTTATATGGGGGCTATACGAAGAAATTAACCTGCACAGGCAATTTTCTGTCCTAGAGTTATGTTTTATACTTGTAAAACATTTATGTTCCTTTTTTATTTAAAATTAAAACACTTATTTTTATAATTTTTATAAACAAATTTAATTAAATTTACTTTTTTTTTAAATGTATGGTTAACAAACAAAATGATTTGATCATATTAAGATCTTGGTGTCAACTGAACTCTTATTCTAAATTCATCTTCTTTTAAAAGTAATTAATATTTTGAATTTACAACAATAAATATAAAAAATACAATAAAAACAAAATTGTAGTTAAAGTGGGAGTGAGTGGGAGAATATTGGAGAGTTTCTATTGATAGATGAGAGAGAGGAAGAGAAGAAGAGAGAATGAAAGTGACAGAGTTTAATTTGATGAGAAATATTAAAATAAGAGAGTGATATTTATGAATTAAAGAATTTGTGATTTTATGTTGGGTGAAATATGTGAACAGAGAAAGGCATTAGGTAAAGTGTATTAGGGTGGGTAGACGAATGTGACTCCCCCATCCCTTGTTATTGCATTCCTCCTGGAATGCAAATATTACAAATATAAAAACAATTATGATTGAAAATATATTTAAAATTCTTAAATGCTAAATAAATATGAATAATGTTAAATGTATACGTATTTCGTTTAGTTAATATCAATTTTTTGTGGATTTTGAATAATTTCTTCCAGTTAATTTTCTGTCAAATTTTACATTATTATATTCATTTTGGTATTTATATTTTCTTTTTACAATATTTCTATCTCTTTTGCAACCCTTTTCATCAACAAAATAATGTTCACCTTTTTGATTTACATTTTTAATTATATATTTTGGTTTTTGTTTAATGTTTTGGAAACCCAGATTTTTAACCAATTCCTTATCACCGAACTCTTGACAATCGTTTCTACCCTCATTTAGTTTTTCAGTCCTTTTAATCTTCTGGTCTACCATTCTATTATGAATTTTGGCCCATATTGACTTATCACATTTATTATGCAATAAATTACTGGGTTTTTCTCCGGTGGCTGAGTGTGTGGAATTATTATATATTTCGACTGCTTTATAAGCCATTGCCCTATCGTCCATATTATAATCCTTTGAATCCAGTTTAAATAAACGGATATGTTCATTTAGGGTCAAGTGAAATCTCTCTATATCCGCATTTCCAGTGTGTGTATTGGGTGAAGTAAAATGATATTCTATATTTTCTATATTTAAAAAGTTTTTTATGTAAGCAGTATTAAATTCATTGTCCGCAATAATTTTACGTGGTTTTCCCATTATCGCAAATCGCTCTCTTAATTTCTCAACTATTGTTAAAGAGTTCTTATCACTTAAATGATGAATTGTTACATGTTTTGTTAATTTATCTATACAGGTCAGGAAGGTCAATACTTTATTTAAAAACCAAACATCTATATGAATAATGTCATTCGAAGTTGTTGGAGTCTCTGTAAGACAAAATTTAGGTCTAATAGGGTGCCTATCATATTTACACATATTGCATATAATGCAATTGTTTATAAATTTGTGTACTTCTCTTTTAAGGTTTGGAAAATATATTATATTTTTTAAATTATTATATGTTTCCTGTATACCCCTGTGATTCATTTCTTTATGATGTTTTTCTATGATGTTATACAAAATATCTTTTTCGAAAATATCCTTGAGATATGTTTGACACTTCAAAATTGTCATATTACTTGAGTTAGAAAAATACTTAACTATTAAGTCCTGCACACTTTTATAAATTTCGAAATTTTCACAAAATAGTCCAATTTTTCCTCTAATAGGAAATATGTTACGTAGCATAAAGATCATAGTTTTTTCATTAAATTCCTTTGTAGTTATTATATATCTAGTTTTATTGCCGTAAATTGTGTCCTTAACATATTTATCTCTGTCTCCAAGTTCTATTATTATTTGATTTTTAAAAATATTCACAGGTAATTCACTAAATTGTATATGATCGTTTAGATCCTCAATTCCACTATGTATTGTTGCCGCATCTGATCGTAAATCGTCAACATAAGTATTTTTTTCTAAAGCATTAATTTCTATTCGACTGAGGAAGTCTGCCACTTGATTCGATTTGCCCTTTATGTATTCTATTTCGAAGTCGAATTCGTTTAATCGAATCTTCCATCTTTGCAATTTCATGTTTGGTTCTTTTAGTGAATTAAGCCAAATTAGAGGTCTGTGGTCTGTCTGAATTTTAAATTTCCTTCCGAATAAATAAGGTCTGAAATATGAGGTTGCCCAAACTATAGCAAGTAGTTCTTTTTCTATTGCACTGTAATTACACTCATGTTTATTTAATGTTCTTGAACTATATGCTATAGGGTGACCATTTTGTGATAACACTGCCCCCAAAGCTGCATTGCTTGCATCCGTTGTCAGTACAAATAATTTATCCCAATCTGGATATGCTAATACGGGACTTTGAGCGACAAGAGTCTTTAGTTTGTTGAAAGAGTCGATATATTCAGGATTCTTAGTATCAATTTTTGCGTCTTTTTTTAAATATTTAATCATTGGAAGAGCTATCCTTCCATAGTCTTTTATAAATTTCCGGTAGAAACCAGTTAACCCCAAAAAAGAACGAATGTGTTTTATAGTTTTAGGAATGGGAACTTTTTGAATTACATCTATTTTAGCAGGATTGGGTCTTATACCATCCGGAGTGATAATGTGTCCTAAATATTCCGATTCTCTTTGAAAAAAATTGCATTTATCGATTTGGACTTTTAAATTGAATTTTGACAAACGCATAAAAATTTTCCTCAATGAATCGATATGTTCTTGCAATGACGTGGAAAACACTAAGATGTCGTCCAAATAAACTATACAGATAATGTTTATAAAATCGTGCAATACCTCATTCATCATCCTCTGGAAGGATGCTGGTGCATTTTTTAAGCCAAATGGCATTCGAGTGAATTCAAAATGGCCAGTATGGGTAGAAAATGCTGTTTTGTGAACGTCATCGGGATGTATTGGTATCTGATGAAAACCTTTTGCAAGATCCAAAGTTGAAAAATATAAACATTTACCTAATTTTGAGAAAAGATCTTCCATATTTGGCATCGGGAATTTGTCACTAATAGTTATGTCGTTCAGCTTCCGGTAATCCACTACAACCCTCCATTTCTGCTCTCCCGAGTTATCTACTTTCTTGGGAACAACCCAAATTGGAGCATTGTAAGGACTAGTAGACTTTTTAATTATGCCAGATTTTAACATCTCATTGACTTGCTTCTCTACTTCTGTTTTATGAATTTCGGGAAACCGATATGTTCTTGAATATACTGGGAGGTCGTTTAAAGTGGGAATTCTATGCATATATTTACCAACTGCTGATAGGTCTTCACCTTCAATGTAAAATACTTTGTTAAATTCTTTAATAATGTTTAGTAGTTTTGAAATTTCTTCGCTATTTAAATGATCCAGCTTTAATCGGTCTAACAAATGGTTTAGGTCTGGCTTATGAAAATTAATGTCTATTATATTAAAACTGGGATCATACAACTCACATTTTTCGTGTTTATCTAAGTCAAATAAAAGGGGTAATTCAGCATGATGAGTTATTAACTTATTGTTTTCTAAGTCAACTTTAGCTTTTAATGGTCTTAATATATTGCATCCCAGAATTCCATCAAATTCTCCAGATATTTCAGTTTCTAGTAATTCTAACTTTGCTTCAGGTATTTTAAATTCTTTGAAAAATGGAATTGAAATTTTTGAGGTAGAAACGGATTTTGAATTTATTGTGTTCAGTAAAATGGGAGATTTCAATTGAGTTCGGAATGAATGGTGGTATAAACCTTTTTTAATTAGAGAAGTAGCAGCTCCTGTGTCTATTAAAATTTTAATTGGGATCGTACTAGTCCTAATAATTATATAGGGTAGAGATCTTCGGCTGGTGATTGAAAATTTTGTTGTTCAACAATTCCTATGTCCATAGGAATTTGACTATCATCTGTATAATTTCTACTATACCGTCTATTGGCGCTATTGTTATCATGTCGAGGAAAGCTTCTTTGGTTATTGTTATTGTAAGCAAAGTTTCGCGAAAAGTGATTCGAATTCTGGTATTGTGGGATATTTCTAGAAATATTCATACTCGGACTGAAGTTTTGAAATTGTCTATTATTATTTGGTATACCATCGGACATGTTATTTTGAGTGTTTTTATTATTATTTTGAGATGAATAAATATTTTGAAAATTATTTCTATTTTGGGTTGAAATGTCATGTCTTAGATAGGAATTTCTTTGTGGTAAGGAATTATTTCTGTTAAAATTTTGTAGGCTTTCTTCTTGGTGTGTAAATGTGTTATAATTAAGTTTAGGATTTGAAATGTATTTTTTATTGTAGAAGTTTCCATAATTTTGCGATGATAAAGATTGACCATTTCTAATAGTAACATTTTTATAAAAATAATCTGTTTCAGTTAATATTTCCTTTGCTTTTGACAAACTACTCGGGTTCCTAGCATTTAAAATTAATTTGGGCTCATTAGGCAGCTTATTTATAAAAATTTTGAGAACCATTTTTTCATTATTGGCGCAAGTGTACCACTCACAATTCTCTTCGACACTTGCTCTTAAATTTAATTTAGTTAGTAAATGTACTAAATGTTCATACATGTTTTCAATGCTATTCCTCATCTCTAATGTTTTTATTTGATTTACTAAGCTCTCTATACTCTCTGTAATACTGAAATTAGATTTTAAAACTTTCTTGATCTCTTCCCAATTTGTGGGACTATTATTGTTAATGAGAGCAATGTTAGCTTGATTCAATATTTTATGCCTAATTTGTAAATCAAATAAAGTTATACTTGGGCCATCGACATATTGCCTTAACTCTTCAGTTGACTGGATAAAGAGGGGAAGCTCCTCAGGTTTACCATCGAATTCGGGAATTCTCTTCAAAAAATCGAACATATTGTATATTGCCATGTTGATGGTTGATTGACTTTCTTTTTATTCCTCCTTTCGTTATTTCAAAAGTGGAGAGGGTGATGCGTTGGGTTTTGACGTTGATATTTCAATTTTGTTACTAGGCTATTTTGTTGTTGGATGCACTTGTAAATTTGCATTGATAGTGAGATTTGTGGGGTGGGGTGTCATTGTTATGATAATCAGTTTTTTTTTGTCACATGCACATGAAATGTTGCAACATCTAATTTTGGAGTTTTTATTGATGTTATTGAATTCTTGTTGTTACCGAAGTTTTTTCTTGTCTAATATGCCGTTGTTAAAAAGATCAGATTGTTAAATTTTTGTTGTTGGTTCAACAAAATTTCAATGTGCTTCTCAGGTACAGTTCCGTATGAGTTTATTAGTTTTAGTAAAGGTTTGTTAATAATTTTTAGTTTATTCCATAATATCATTAGCAAGTTATGATTTTTGAATATGTGTTTTTTTTTTTTTAAATTTAGTTTTACTTTATTTTTATATATATATTTTTTTCAATTTTTTCGAACATTGTAGATGTAGTTATAATAGTTTTCTTAAAATTTTCACAACTTTTATAACAATTTTTAATCACTATTTATTTTTAAACACTGCTGTTAAGTTTTCAAAATTATTAAAATAATTTATTTTTTTCACAGTTTTAAAAAAGTTTTTTGAAAATTTTCACTTCTTCAAATTGATATTTCTATCATCATCATTTTGATGGAAAAGATTTGATATTTTCCATTTAATTGGTTCGTAAACCGACTGCGCCAGTTATGTTTTATACTTGTAAAACATTTATGTTCCTTTTTTATTTAAAATTAAAACACTTATTTTTATAATTTTTATAAACAAATTTAATTAAATTTACTTTTTTTTTAAATGTATGGTTAACAAACAAAATGATTTGATCATATTAAGATCTTGGTGTCAACTGAACTCTTATTCTAAATTCATCTTCTTTTAAAAGTAATTAATATTTTGAATTTACAACAATAAATATAAAAAATACAATAAAAACAAAATTGTAGTTAAAGTGGGAGTGAGTGGGAGAATATTGGAGAGTTTCTATTGATAGATGAGAGAGAGGAAGAGAAGAAGAGAGAATGAAAGTGACAGAGTTTAATTTGATGAGAAATATTAAAATAAGAGAGTGATATTTATGAATTAAAGAATTTGTGATTTTATGTTGGGTGAAATATGTGAACAGAGAAAGGCATTAGGTAAAGTGTATTAGGGTGGGTAGACGAATGTGACTCTAGGCTGTAGTATTCATTACGAACTTCAAATACGAAATTTGAAGCAATTCCGGTGAATAATGTCGCTAAAATCATCAAAATACCGAATATAGGGAGGTACCGTTATATGGGAGCTATATGAAAACATGGACCTACAGAGCCCATTTTCTGTCTTAGGCGGTAGTATCCGTTTTGAACTTCAAATACGAAATTTGAAACTTTTCCGGTTAATAATGTCGCAAAAATCATCAAAATACCGAATATCGAGGGGTACCGTTATATGGGAGCTATACGAAGACGTGAACCTACACAGACAATTTTCTGTCCTAGGCTGTGGTATTCATTTCGAACTTCAAATGCCAAATTTGAAACAATTCTGGTGAATAATGACGCTAAAATCATCCAAATACCGAATATCCGAAGGTACCGTTATATGGGAGCTATATGAAAACGTGACCTGCACAGACAATTTTCTGTCCTAGGCTGTGGTATACATTTCGAACTTCAAATATGAAATTTGAAACAATTCCGGTGAATAATGTCGCTAAAATCATCAAAATACCGAACATAGGGAGGTACCGTTATATGGGAGCTATATGAAGACGTAGACCTGCACAGACAATTTTCTGTCACAGGCTGTAGTATCTAGTAAGAACTTCAAATACGAAATTTGAAACTACTCCGGTGAGTAATGTCGCTAAAATCATTAAAATACCGAAAATGGGGAGGTACCGTTATATGGGGACTATACGAAGACGTAGACCTACACAGATAATTTTCTGTCCTAGGCTGTGGTAATCATTTCGAACTTTAAATATCAAATTTGAAACAATTCTGGTAAATAATGTCGCTAAAATCATAAAAATACCGAATATCAGGAGGTACCGTTACTTGGGGGCTATATGAAGACGTAGACCTGCACAGACAATTTTCTGTCACAGACTGTAGTTCCCATTACGAACTCTAAATACGTAATTTGAAACTACTCCGGTGAATAATGTCGCTAAAATCATCAAAATACCGAATAAAGGGAGCTACCGTTATATGGGGGATATCAAAGACGTGGACCTGCTCAGATAATTTTCTGTCTTAGGCGGTAGTGTACATCTTGAACTTCAAATACCAAATTTGAAACATTTCCGGTTAATAATGTCACTGAAATCATCAAAATACCGAATATCGGGAGGTACTGTTATATGGGAGCTATATGAAAGCGTGGACCTGCTCAGATAATTTGCTGCCCTAGGCTGTAGTATTCATTACGAACTTCAAACACAAAATTTGAAACAATTCCGGTGAATAATGTCGCTAAAATAACCCAAATACCGAGTATCCGGAGGTACCGTTATATGGGGGCTTTATGAAAACGTAGACCTACATGGCCCATTTACGAACTTAACCTGCCTACTAGAAAAATAAATATGTGTGCAAATGTTTTGCCTTCTATCTCAATTCGTTTGAAAGATGGCGTGATTACAACAGACAGACAAACAGACGGACAGACAGACGGACATGGCTAAATCGTCTTAGAACTTTACGCTGATCAAGAATATATGTACTTTGTTGGGTCTGACATGAGTATTTTGAGGAGTTACAAACGGAATGACAAAATTAATATACCCTCCATAGTATTGTGGAGGATATAAAAAAAGGGAGAAAGGAGAGATGTCCGAAGTCAGAGACAGAGTATTGTAATTTGATGAACCCATTTTATTTTTTTAAAGAAAATAGTCCCTACAACTCTCTCAAAATTATTTCTCTCTCAATTCTCATTCTCTTAAAACAAAAATGAAATTGAGATTTGAATTTCCTTGGACCTCAAATCAAAAGACTTAGGCAACAAACTTGAGTCTAGTCATCTGCTGAGTAGTCACTTTTTTGGCTTTGCCTCTCAATTGCTGGGTCAATGTCTCAGCCATATTAGATTTCGAAATTCCCTTCTTTTGGGTGCCCTCAAATCAAAAGACTTAGGCAACAAACTTGTCATCTACGGAGTAGTAATTTTTTGGGCTTTGCACTTCAGTTGCTGAGTCAATGTCTCAGTCATATTTATGTGTCATGCAATTTGAAGTCGAAATTTTAATATTTTCAAGGAAAATAGTCCCTACAACTCTCTCAAAAATTATTTCTCTCTCAATTCTCATTCTCTTAAAACAAAAATGAAATAGAGATTTCAATTTCCTTGGCCCTCAAATCAAAAGACTTAGGCAACAAACTTGAGTCTATTCATCTGCTGAGTAGTCACAATTTTTTGGCTTTGCCTCTCAATTGCTGGGTCAATGTCTCAGCCATATTAGATTTCGAAATTCCCTTCTTTTGGGTGCCCTCAAATCAAAAGACTTAGGCAACAAACTTGTCATCTACGGAGTAGTAATTTTTTAGGCTTTGCACTTCAGTTGCTGAGTCAATGTCTCAGTCATATTTATATGTCATGCAATTTGAAGTCGAAATTTTTATATTTTCAAGGAAAATAGTCCTTTATCCTCTCCAAAAAATATTTAGCATAATTCTCAATCTCTTAAAAAAAGGAAATTGAGATTTCAATTTCCTTGGCCCTCAAATCAAAAGACTTAGGCAACAAACTCGATGCGAGACATCTGCTGAGTAGTCACTTTTTTGTTGGCTCTACCTTTCAGTTGCTGGGTCAATGTCCATTACACATTTGAAATCCCCAACCATATTTATGTGCCACATTAAGTGATATATATAGCCCTGGTTGTGGCTCTATACGGTATTTAAAAATTTTAAACGTTGCTGTAAATTTCAGATTTCAGCCAGAAAAAAGAGTTTAAGGTCATAACTGCGAATGTAATTAACGCATTTAGTGTAATTTAATTAAAAATAAAACAACTACAGACTTTATCTTTATGGTCCAAATGAAACCGAAACAACAACAAGAAAAACCCCCCAGACCACGTTATGCTTTGTTAGCTATGGTGGTTTCTAACAACTCTAGTTATTATGGTGGTGGCCACAGGCGGCACACAGCACTCCCAGGCCAATTTTAATTATGGCCGGCTTGAACTTTATTTGGTACTTCGCCGTAATGGCCATTGGCGTTGAGAAGGGAAATGGAAAACGACAACGAAACGCCTGCTGTTAAAATACTGGCAACAACAACAACACAATTGCAGTGCAATGACGACAAAAACAACGTCTGGTTCTTTGGCAGTTTACCACGCTGTCAAAGCGTAGCGTATGATTTCTTGTCTTTTTTTTTGCGGTGTTATAATTTTTTTTCCTTTTATTTAATTTCTTGTTAGTTTTTCTCCGACAAGTAGCTAATTCCCTGAGAATTTAATTTGCATAAAAATGCTGAGATAGTTTTTTTTTGAGTAGCGGAGTAGACAGCCCCAACCAGATTTACATATTAAGATAGACAACTTCATTTTACTTTTTGTCTCTTTTTTCGCATTCACACCTAATTAGTACATGGTTCAATGGAAAATTAGTCGTTCGAAAGAAATGAAAAATCCTACCATACCAATTTATATAAAAAAACTAAAAATTAAGTTATTGGGTCAGAAATTCACGCATTGGAGAGAATGGAGATTGGAATTGCAACAGAGGCTGATTCGAAAGAAAAATATTTAATAAAAAAATATCAGAGATTTTTAAATGAAATATTTTCGATAAAAAAAATAATTTTTGTTCTATAGAATTTTTTTTTTATATTTTTTTTAATAGTTAATTATAACAAAAAATTTTTTTTTTCTTAAAAAAATATTTTATGGAGAATTTTTAAAATATTTGAAATCTCCA